TACCGGTATCCAATTCTTTTAGTGATGACCACCGCCTTTATTATATTTATCATAAATAGGTCTTTGTTTGTTAGTTCTTTAGCATAGCAACTAGGTAGTTCTTCCACAAAAAAGCAAAACACGTTAATAATTAAATCTTCCACAAAAAAACAAAAGGCGTTAACAGGTGCATCTCAAACAAAATGTTCAATAACTTGAAAAATCGAATAACCTAAGCTGGGAATCGAACCCACGACCCTTCGCTTTTAAACTACTCTGACTTCTGAACACGTTTAATTCTAACATAAGTATGAAACCTACGTGATGTTCTTTGGGAAAACCCAATCAAATATCGAAAACTATTCTCACGATACTAAAGAACACAGATACAATCAAAATATGAACAAAACATCCTTACAGATTATGCACACTCACAGATTAAAAAAATCTCACCCCTAATGTTTTGGATAGGTGTGAGTTTTGTTTAATCATGATCTATAGTTTTGAAATAGGTACATAACATTTTATCTTATATGTTAAAAAAGAAACTTATCAGTTTATATTATAACTTTTTAGTAGTGTGGGTTTCTAGGTAACAACAAAAGGCCTTAGGAGGCTTAAGATTACCTAATTTCTTAGCTCTATCATATCAGACAGAGGCTCAATGAGATGTTCAAATTTTATTTTCAGAATTTCAGCATGATTTAAGATTGAAATGTGCTAATTTTTCAGTTATCCTGCTAGGGAATCGAACCCAGGTACTTCAAATACCTAAAGAGAGTCAAACTCTGGAACTAGTTAACCAAAAATAATTAAATATAATAATATAAAATAAATATTCCACTGTGCAAAACTGCTACTTACAGCTTTCTAAAGAGTTTCCTGAAAAGTACTGAAACGAGCTGATAGTCTGATAGAAGTACTTAAACCATTACAATGTATAAATCTATTAACATAAAGACTTCAACAGACTTCCGTCCAGGTCGTAAAACCATCTAAGTTACATTCAAGTGAAATAGATCAAGTTTAACTGACCACATTAAGTTAACTGCTTCTTTCTGGATAATGTTTATCTTGTTGTAAAAGACATCTAACTTGGATGGATAGTGCTCAGGCTCCATATAAGTTTCATAACTTAAACTTTAGAGAACAGTTTCAAAGTTTTGATCGATAGATTTAGGTAGGCAACTTTAAATTTAGTTTAGAGAAAATGTGAAATAATTTAAAGTAGGTACTACCCATTTTGTACGGGTTACAAGAAAACTTTTATTTAACTATTGTGAATGCTTCAGTAGTTATCATAAGTAATAATCACCATAATAATCTAACAAGAGACGTTCTTAATTAACAACCATTTGTTTGTTTGTTTGGATCGATCATTCTTCAGGTTTTAGCAAAATAAAAACGCACATTCATACAAAAAAGTATATTTTAAAATAAAAACATATTGAAAAACAGAGATAATTGGCAGTTGAACTCAAATAATCATAATTAAAATCAATAATTACAAAATTCATAATTAAGTCACTTGGTATGACTAAAATAATATGGAGGCTACATAAAAGCTAAAACTAATAAATGTTTAAACTAAATTAGCTAAAATATACAGGCCGTTGCATGTAATTTACTTTATGTAGATCACACATAATTATTATTTCCNTTAGCAAAATAAAAACGCACATTCATACAAAAAAGTATATTTTAAAATAAAAACATATTGAAAAACAGAGATAATTGGCAGTTGAACTCAAATAATCATAATTAAAATCAATAATTACAAAATTCATAATTAAGTCACTTGGTATGACTAAAATAATATGGAGGCTACATAAAAGCTAAAACTAATAAATGTTTAAACTAAATTAGCTAAAATATACAGGCCGTTGCATGTAATTTACTTTATGTAGATCACACATGATTATTATTTACTAAAACATAATACATTATGATAATAATATGATAATGATAATAAAATATTTTAAATTGCTGAATATTCTTAGCAATTTTCAAGCAAAATATTAATTAAGAAAGACGTGGTAGTGAAATGTTCTTATAAATCTAAGTAATATTTTATTTTACGATATTATTGCTTAGTGTTTCAATATTAATTCACGATAATACTTGATTTTATTAAGCAGCAAACTGTTTTATTTCTATAAAAAACACTTTTTCCATAAATTATAATACCTAGTTACTTTAAAATTTATCATTTTATAAAAAACTACAAAACTTCATTATTAATGAGACGGATACGTTTAAGTGTTTTTTATACAAACAAATTGTATTTTTATTGAGAAGCAATTTAGAAAATGGTTTCTACGAGGTACAAAATCTTATGAGCGAAAAGCATACCAATTGTAATTTATGTACAAAACTCTTAAATGCAATTTTTCCATCTTTATTTGCTTATTTTAACTTTGTGCTAACGAATATAAATTGGATAAAACAACAACTAAAAATATGAGATACAATCACATGAAAGGCATACGATATTTCAATGTTTTACTAAACTCGTTTAGCGAAATGTTGTTTTTAGTTAAAAACTAATTCACTCAAATTACATTTGTTAGCGCAAAGCAGCAAAACTAATCAACAAATAAGAGTTTCCAAGAGATCATTAGGAAAACTTCTTTTTATGAATTATAATTTTCTTAAATAAATACAATATCACATTTGAACACATTCTTCCGTATAATTTGTAATTCTTAAAATAAATCGCTACGTATGGATAAAAAAAATTACGGCAATAAAAAAATTGTTCCCTTTTTTATTTGTTCCCTCTTTCTCAAAACAAAACTGTCTAATTGTTGACATTCAATTATTAAGGCTGATTTTATTTTAGCGCTTTTGGGTTGTACCTATCTGTTTTAGCGAATCGAGTTCAAAGGTAGTTCAACGCCCAGCCTGTGTTTCACAATCTTACTTTAACACTGTAACAAACGTAAAAAATCTGTCGAACTCTTATCAATATCACCGGTTATCGTTAAAGTTACGGTTAAAGTTAGGCTGCAACTCAGCCTAGGCGTAACTATAAAACCAACCTCAAATTATTTTATTTTATATTTTTGACTACTTTAAGTATTAATAAAAAATCCAAGAACGAATGTTTTCAATCCAACCAACAATTGATTGCATGTGACAAAATGAAAGCCTCAAACTTAATTTTACAGCTAGCATCATACTAAACGAGTATTACATACTATTTACATAACTATAATATTTCCCTATAATAGCCCTTCCTTTTCAATCTTCCGTACCAAATTAAAATATTTAGAGAAACATGGCCCATGAATTCCCGTTTCCAATTTGATTAATTAATCATCTTTAATCTGGAAACGGTAGAGTCATTAATCTCGCTTAGTCAAATTATTTACAATAATCAACCGTATTACTAAAATATACACTCTGATAAAATCTCCACTTCCACCAACTTGGCACAATCCTTCACAAAATGGTCTACGCATAAATACATTAAAATATTTCTAAAATAAACATTTTCATTACAAAAATAATAAAATGAGATCAATCGATGATCATTTTTAGGTTTGCTCTCTTTGGAACAATTTGTCGGAAAATGTACTTTATTCCTTTTTAAAATAAAATCTATTTTACCGTACGCTATATAAAACTGGTCCATTCTTCGAATACTCACAATTAAGATTTTATCAAATATTTATATAATTATGCAGGTATATAATATGATTTATATCTATTGATTATATTTCAACATCAAAAGCGGAATGTAAATTGACACACGATTAATATAATAATTATGTTTTCCACTATCAATAATAATGCTGTATTTTCATGTTATCGTAATTTCTGTTGAAAGAAATCCTTGTGTTCAAAAAACGTTATGGGCGGGATGATACGGGTCTTGTTATGTAGAAAAAATAAACGAATAAACATTGGATGAACTAAGAGTAGAGCTTTTTTTATTTCATAAATAACTCCACTTAATTAAGTAGAAACAACTTCTTAATTAATCTCTGTCATCAGAAAAGTCTCTCGAAACAGTTTAGTTAACGATTTGCGTTGTTACAATTTATCGTTTTAAATACATAAAATAATGTCATACATGTTATACAAATGTTTTAGTATAAACAGGACTTATTCAATACACGTACAAAATGTTTTTACAAAATGACATCATAAATTATTCATTATATTTTTTAATGTGTGCGCGTATCAAGACGTATTTACAATAACACAACTTCATACAAAATTGTGTATGAGGACGCCTAACGATGTGTGTTATTTTAACACAACCATTAATCAGAAAAATGGCACATACTGATCAATAATGGTAGTTTTATAACCCATCATATTTTTTAGAAATAAAAAGTTATTTTAATTCTAGGCAATATCGTAGATTAATATTGGCCAATGTCTTTTCATAAAGTATTGATACAACATTCACACACTGACAATGAGACGATATTAAAAAGTGACACATGAAATCTCGAAATTGAAAAAATATTTCATGAATAAAGACGAGTTCTTAGTTTGTGAATTTTTGAGTTGTGACATTCTCATTGCCGATGTGTGAAATGTAACTGGAATAAAACACTCAAAACTAAATAACAGAATATTATGTACTTCCTAATAATAATACTACATATTATTAAATATTTAAGAAATTACTAATGACGGCAAAATATGAAAGGTTATAAAACACCAGCAGACCAGTACGTAGTAAAAAGTTATAAAAAAGCGTGACGTATAAAATAGCCTTTGGGCTATTCTCCGCACGCGTAATATCCCATCGCCCAATAATATACCGCTCTATTAGGCTGTGGTCTTCTCTAAATGCTGTAGGCCGCGATTCCCGGGACAAACTTGACCTTCACTGGTTGAAAATCATAAAAACTTATAAAACTCTTTTATTTTTGCGAATAGGCTTTTAAAAATCACTTTTACACGTCCCAGTATTAACCCTACCACTGCTTCGGGACAATAAATGGGCCAGTGCTGAGAAGAAGCAGCGCAAGAAACTCAGTCACTATTGGGTTGGGTTTTTATTGGCGGTCAAGCTGTAGATCCTGGCTCCACAGAAGGTGCAGCGGTGGGAACGAGAGGTGGGAATAGTCCCGTACAGCGTCACGCCATAGGCCGCGTCACAATGCTATATAAATTTTATGGTTTCTTTCTGACCTAGACGTATAGATGTCGTTGACGTTGATATCGTGCGCCACGTACAGCGTTTAATAGGAGACCGTAGCCTTACTAAGTTTGTTCACCGCTTGTTTGCTAGCAGCTTCCAGCCTAGCATGAAGAGCACAGCAGTACAGATCGAGCCTGACAGCTTGTCAGGGATGATGGACGAGAAGATTGAACTTTCGGATGACCGGTCGGATTCGTCGGGTGGTTCGGATACGGCGTCGGTCTGTAAAAAAGAGAAAAATAAATATTAATTGTGTTAAAGTATCTGTAGATGTGAATCACCCTCAAAAACGAGTCTTTTGAAAATACATTTGAAAATAAATTCCTATTTACAATAACTATGTATAATAATAATGCCGTATTATAATATGTATATTAAAAATAAGGAAACTAAAAAAGATTCTTTTCAAATTTATTCACCCTACAAAAGACACATTTTTACAGATGTATTTTACTTTTTATTTAATATTTTTTTAATATTTTACCCTTTTTTTAAATCAAAACGTGGATTCTAATGTTGCTTCTTCTCTACAAAATACCATTCCATGCTTACTACAAACATGACCTGACAAAGCTCACACCAATATAACGTAATGAGTCTCAAACTGCCATAGACACAAGAAGCCCAATAAAAGACTGATGCAATATTAGAGTGCATTCTATTGCACCTATATTTGGAAACGGTAACACTTTACGGCATAGACTATGCAAATAGAGCAGAGTTATGTCTAAAAGTAGGGTTGTCACTTCTGTGAAAACGTATGGTACTTACTCCATTATGTTAAAAACTAAGCCAAAAAAGTTCAAAAACTAAATTCCATTTGCTGAAAAAAAGCCTTTAATAAACACAGATTATAGTATGGGGTTAAAATGTTACTTTGATAAACTTATCAACTCAATGATGTTTTTTTTATTAATAGAAATAATATTTTTATTATGCACTTCCTACGCTGCATTGACCAGACTGATTGAGTGGTTTATTTTATTTAAAAAAAAATTGAAACTACATTACTTATGAAAAAACACGTCATGTTTTGGCATTCCGACACATGGTCATGATGATCAAACATTTATTTTATTTTATTTTATTGTTAGGAAAACAAACATCATTCTATAACACATATACCTAGAGTTACCAATTAAACTTCACATTTGCCAAAATAGTTTTCACAAATAGTTTATACATAGGTGTCGTTTTTAAAAATTGAGTAAACAGAAACAGAAAATAAGTTTTTTAGATTTTATATTGAATACAGTACTATGACTTGGCAATTAATTTAAACTCGAAATATCGCATCGTTGTTAAAACAGTAAATAGTTAGGTAATTACTGTTTTAACAACGACCTAAATGTGTTTGGTTTTAGGCTGAAATTATTTTACTAGAATGAAAACGGTGTGTCATTAGGATTTTAGTGAGAATCTGATAGCCCTACCTAAAACTAAACTAAGCTAAAGCCCAATAAACTTAGCACACCCATAAAGGCTGTAAACAGCGAGCGTTATAAGAAATATTAGAGTCAGTACTTGGAAGCACTTTTTATAGATATTAATAAAACAATGCCGCCGTAAACTTTATAGGAATCGTATAGAGTTTACAACGGACGACGCGGTGGCGATACGACGCTCTTTCTTTATTGTGTCGGATGATGTTTACTTGGTTCTTGCTAAAGATTACGTAAATTGGTCTTTGAAATTCTTTAATTGAATACATTTTAAAAATTTTATTAGGTATACAGGGTGGCCAGGGAATGCTAAAATTTAGATTCCTTACATCAAAGTGTATCTAAATCACCCCCCCCCCCCATATATGTAATTTAATAAAAATATTATTTACTTTTCTTGAGAAAATGGTAATATCATTTTTGTTTCAGATCCAAGTTCAAATCTTCATCTTCTTTGTCGTCGTTGGTAAGTTTTATTTAACGTTTGTTTTATAAAATTACGACTTTTTTTGTATTTTTGGACTTTGATACATTCTTTTCAGCCAAAAAAAGCCTTTTGCATTAGGTAACCTAATTGTATTTTTTTAAATAACAATTGTATCATAAAAACTTTTCTAAATACTTACAATGTCCTAGCGCTACAGCCTAATAACTTATTTTTTGGTATTAGACTAGGTTACAATCAAATTAAAAAAGTGACGCTACTAGATGAAAACGCAACTTACACGCTTATGTCCTTAATTCCAAACACCCTGTATAAAAGCACCATAGAAGCAATTCAAGTAAGTGATACACTCGACTGTTTTATTGTAAGTATAATTTGAATGGCATTTTTAGTGCGGGGTGGGGATGCGTGTTACGGCCACATTAAACTCTTCGATTCCTAGTCAATATTATTTAAAGCCATCGTAAAGTTTAGTGGACATTGTAACAGTTGGCTGTAAATACTTAGTCCTGATTTTAATTTAGATATTGTTTATTGTGTTAGCAAATTTTATGCGATTTAGTACTAATATTTGAACCTTGATTAGTTTGTTTTCAATGCTTTGTGAGTATATTTTTTAAATATCTTATTATCACATCGACACCGACTATCTACAAAGTTTTTAAGCTTATAGTGGCGTGCGTTGTATTCCATTATTGTTGGATATGTCACCGTAAAATTGAGAATTCCGTCAGATTATAATCTGACGTAGTTAAATTACAATCTAACCTAACCTAACCCACAGTTAGTTTACAATCTAACGCGTTATATTATAAACTGACAGAGTTCACAATTTCACGTTGACATAATATTATAATAATTAGTACCAAGTACCAACTTTTTCGAAAAACTTTTTATTCCACCACAAAATAATTACAAATAATATTATTAAAACGCCATATGTGATCCTAATAAGAAGATTACTAACCACCAACAATACGCACCCCACGTAAACAAAATTTAAAAAAGGGATCTTTTACCAACGCTGGTTTAAATCCGTATAATTTTATTATACCTACCTGCCTAATTTATCTGCCGAATTGAATACAACCACCGGCAAATTACTTTCATTATACTACAAAAAAAAAGAGATGGCATAATAGAAAATCACAGTAGAGAGAACGAGACGGAACATTCACCTGATAATCTCACAACAAAGCATCAATCGCTACTTACATTTGCATACATTTTGGGAGTAAATAAAAAATTAGAATACAGACGAATTTTGTCTTTAGGCAAGCAATAAGGGATCTTGAATTTAATATAAATAAGATGCAAATTGAATTGGAGAGGAGTCGTAAGGGCTCCGTTACACGTTATCGTGTGGAATCTTTAGTAAATCAGTCGATTTTTTGGGAGATTTTTTATTTATTTTAACTGTAAAAAAAAAATATACTTAAATAATTTAAAATTATTAAATCTGAACCGTTTGACGATGGCTAAAAATGATAAATCAACAATATTGCTCAATAAAAAATGTTAGTAACCAATTAATATTTATTTGATATTTTTTTAGATTGTCACTCTCTTATTCATTGATTTATTAAAGAATCTTATTTATAAAATTCAGTTATTATTCTTGTATTATTATTTATTTTTGAGACATTAGGAACATCGTTCAATATTTCCTTCACAATGAAACCCAATTCAACTCTATGATATTGTAGAGATCTATCAACAATATTTTTAATGTCCCTGTTCAACAAATAAAGCCTCCAATACACGAAAAAACATAATTTGCAACGCAAACAGAAGGTAAAAGAGAATCTAATGTATTTGTGGAACTATTTGATGGATATTTGTATTATTTGTTGTACAAACACAAACATTGGAAGGTGTATCAAAGGGTATAATATTGTTTTTGCTTTGGTATCTCTATTTGTAAATATTGGGGAATGTAGTTCAAATCGATGATTTGCTTTGATGTGATTTTTTCATCAGTCTATAGTATTCAATTCTGCAGGATTTATTGTTATAGATACTTAAATACAAATTTAATAGTGTGTCTTTACTTTTCAAATTAATTCTCCTTATGGATCCTAAACGATGTTTATTTGAATAGTATTCCAAACAATAAATTATTTTGTTTTATTTTAAAGTAAAATAGATACCACATTTTTTTTATNGATAATTCAGATCGAACTTTACTTGGTAAGTTTGTTTGATCATCTAATTTAAGAGTAAATTGAAATGCTACAAATAGGGTCTAGGGCCTTATACAAAAAGTTTAGCGCGCATTGAATACTTGTCTAAATTGACATAAAAAATGCATGGAAATGTAATTTTAAACCAATGTTCAACGCGAGTTTAACTTTCTTTTAATAAGATCAACAATAGTGCCACTAGTTAATAAGAACCCACAAAAATATTAAATTGTTATCAATAAATAATACTTTACTGTTTTCATTTAGGTANTTTTTTATAAAAATATTTTTACTTGGCGGGAACTTTATTCGATAGATGCCATTTGTAAACTGATAACAAAAAACAAAAGACTAGTTTGACTATAAAAAAGATAAGTTCCTTCTTCTATTGCATACTTCCACTTCATACAAATTCCACAGAACTTTTGAACCTCATTCCATCAACCAGTAAATAAACATCGCCTTCATTTCTCAAATACGAAAACAATTTGCATCAAATCTATTCCACGACGCGTAATAATAAAGTGCTTACAAAAAATCCTTTTGAAGCGGAACAATGGACTCCGACCAATCCATTCAAAGGGATGAATTTCCACTCGATACCTATCCTGCTACTTGCAAAAGTACCTCTTCTTTACCAACGCAATTTCTATCTTAAGATTTTTACATAGAGTCGATTTTACAAAAGTTGTGGGAGAATTAGTGGGTTATTTACAGTGTCGCGTCTAAGAAAAGAGGTTGGAAGAAGCGCGAAATGAGTTTTTATTTGATTTTCCTTTTTTCTTTTTTTAAAGGGAGTGTGTCATTGATGTTCGGTTATTATGATGTTCGGATTTTGAAAATTAATTTTAGGAGACACATTGAGTGAACCATGAATTTTATATTAATTTAAGAGTAAATTGAAATCTACAAATAAATAAACTCTAGGGCCTTATTACAAAAAGTTTAACACGCATTGAATACTTGTCTAAATTGACATTAAAAATAGTATGGAAATGAAGTTTTAAACCAGTGTTCAACGCGCGTTAAACTTTATTGTGATAAGGCCAACAATAGTAATAAGTAAGTATTAAATTGTTATCAATATTTAACTTTACTGTTTTCATTTACAGCACACAATATTGAGTTTTCAAACTTGGAAATAAAAATCAA